TGACAGACGCTGCTCCCCCGTGTCGTTCAGGAGCCCAAACAAAGTTAGCGTGCTACAATATCGGACAGTAGAAACCAACCAGAAAGTTCGGAAAATTGTCGGAATAGTAAAAAAACTCAAACTTTTGCTCGTGACTCCGCCTCGTGTCGGAGTTGGTCACTGTAATTTGATGAAATATCGACCGACGCCGAACAAATAGTTTGTCACTTGATTATTTTGGGCGCACGTCTGTTTCTGTTTTCAGAGACTCAATAAAACTTTGAGCTAACGGTGAAAAATCAATAATCTCCTGTTTTAAAAACAAAGAAAGGCATTGATAAGGGAATCGTTAAAGAATCGATTCGATAATGGCGTTGATATCGATCAAATCTCTTCCCATGAAGGCGGTGAAGTGGTGAAGAAGAGGTCCAGCCCACTTGGGTTTTGGAGTCTTTTTATTGGTTAGGTCATCCTAGTCAGTCCAAATAATTAAATTAAAGAAAATCCGTTTAAATATCGTCTTTAAAGAGGAGAGCAGAAACTAAAAGCAGAAACTCGTCCAAACCTTCATTTAAAAAAAAAAAAACACACAAACTCCTCCTTCAAATCACAACGTCACACAAACAACAACTCAAATAGAACACACTATACACAACTGAAGCTATGCAGCTGAAATCGGGGTCGAACCAACACGGCGAGCCGCGCTCTCCGTCAGCCCGCCGCGTCTTTCTCAATCTCTGTGGGGTTTCCTGCCGGTTCTCCGGGGGCTGTGATTGGATGTGGGAGGTGTCAGAGTGGTGATGTCACCGCCATGGTTTAAAAGCCAAAGGTGTTCTCGCCGCTGTACGCCACGTATAAAAAGCCGTCCTCGTCCTTCTCCTTATCGTAGAGCTGACCCATCGTGATGCTGGAGCAGAGAAACAACAAGGATTAGACAAGAACCAGAACCAGGACTGGACGGTCCGGATCTTCAAAACAGACCGGACTCTGCAGCGGGAATCACCGCCTAGGACAAAGGACAACTGGACTTACTGGAGACGTCTCAACTAAGTCCAGTTGTCCTTTCAACAAAGAACTAGAAATCATAGAAGCTGCATCCTCCTCTCTGAACACCAGACTGGGTCTCAGCTCCCAGTCCAAATCCAGAACCTGAGTCCATTTAAGGAGGACTGTTGAGTTAGAGTCCCAAACAGGAAGCAGCACAAATCAGAACCAGAGACTGGACCTGGTCAAACTGGTCAAACTGGTTAGAACCAGTACAGGCCTGTGCAGATCTTTCATATTGATTCTAGTACTGATTAGTTGATTGATCCTTTACAGTAATTGGGTGGAAATGCTGAGTCAGCATTTTTTCTATGATAGAATTCCTCTTTTTTATTATTTGAAACGTTTTTAATTTTTTATGTTTTATCTTTTTTTTTTTCTTTTCAATGACGTTTGTTTTTTTTATGGTGATTTTCTGCTCCTGTCATTGTTCGACTTTCTTTCCAATCTTTCTAGAATCAGCATCTCCTCATCCATGGTGTCATCGGGGTGAAATGACGTCTAAAAACCTTTCACTTGTTCGTCTCCGCCCGTTTGCATGGTGTGAAATACGATCCTCCTGAAACACGGAGTGTTTTATTTTGAAAAGAAGCCGGATGTTTTATTTTGTGTCTGTGCCCGACTTCCTTTCCAGCACGGGTTAATCTGTGCTGAATTTATCCGCCATGCTCCGGCGTCCAGAAAAAATAGAACTCTTGTGATCAGCTGAGGAGTCCGGCGATCGGCAGAGGAACGGAAAGAAGTCGGTGTAAATTGACACGTTAACTTGAATGGTTACGATCAGCTACGATCGGAGGATACGACCTTTTAGGAGACCATCAGGATGAAGGTGGAGGTCGGGGGTAAAGCTCTGTTAACTGTGGTCTCTCCGTTTCTCTGAATTTTTCTTTCACTTCCACTCAGCAGAATCTGTGATTTTGGAGCTTCCCTTGTTATTATTCGTAGTATTTTTTCATGAAGTGAAAGTTTTATTTGTGAACTTCCTCTTCAGGGTCTGAAAACTCCCTCATCCAAAATAGTTCATAAACTCCTGACACAGAACGCCACAGTTCGACCGTTTCACTGCCACTAAAAATAGATGTGTGAGAATCGTCAAATGTATTTAGGGTCACATGTGTGAATAAAAAAATCTATAAATGTTTTTTTTCTGTAAATACGGCGGTGAAGTTAGTTTTAGGTTCTTCCTGACCCTGAGACCTGGAACCAGGTGTTATTACCCTCTGAGTTGACTGACCCCGCCCCCCTCCTCACCTGGACTGAGGGACGGTCTTGTCCACGAACAGGAAGATGGCCTTCTCTGACGGCAGCTGGATCCGTTTTCTGATGATCCACATGAACTGAGCCACCGTGATGTCAGAGGGGACCAGGTACTTCCTCTTATCGATGTCGGTGATCTGTGACCCCGAGACTTTCTCCACGATCACCTGAGACAAACACACACACACACACACACACACACACACACACACACACACACACACACACACACACACACAGGTGTTAGACACACACAGAGGACACACACACTCTCCTCTCTGAGCTGGTAAAAGTCTCACTCACTGGGACCCGGTCAGGGTACTTGTTCCGGATTTTGGCGGACTCTATGCATCGATGTTCTGGAAGACAAAAACAACATCTACATGAGTTACATCTACATTTTAGGACACAATCAAACCTGCTGTTGGTCAGAGGTCAGAGGTCAGAGGGGATGGATGAACACTGATCCAGTTTTCAGTCCAGTCAGTAAAAAACACAAGACTGGTCTACAACGAGTCCTTCTGGGAGGACCTTCTCCGGGGTCTCTGAGTCCTCTGTAACAGTGGTTCTCAACTGGTGGGTCCTGACCCAAAAGTGGGTCGCAGACATGTTCTGGATGGGTCACAAACAGCTGGTCAATAAAGTAAACATGTAATTCTCAGCTGATGTTTGACAGGACTTTTATTTTGAAAAATCTCTTATTTTGTGTCATTTGACATTTTCTGTTTTTGTAACTTCAGTCGTTGTCGTCTCGGTTCATCTGCTCTAAAATACATTTTATATATTTGTCTTAAAGATTTGAGTCTTTAAAGGTTTTCTACAAAAGTGGGTCAGAGTGAGACCAGTTGAGAACCAGTCCTCTACACTGTCCTTAGGTGGTCCACAGGGGTCCGTCCTGGGGCCGTTGCTTATTTCCTTGAACCTGCTTCGCCTGAACACTTTTCAGGTTTTATATCATCAGTATAGAGTGGACCCGGGACTGCAGCTCAGTGAGGTCTCTAAGTGATCCAGACTCCTGGACTTGGACCTGTTTCTGTAACCAAACTTTACTAAAAGTACAAAAACATATAAATATATTTTTGATCAGTCTTTGCTGCAGCAGCTTCTGTGTCGACGTTTACATCAGAGATAAAAGGTGAAAATTAAAATCATTTAAAATCTTATTTTTCACTTTTTAGAGACACTTCACCCACGTCTGTGTTAATGTCTTTACGATCAGTTAAGAACATTTTATTCTACTTCTGAGCAGAAATGAGAAAAACTAAGAACAGAGATGATCTGTGGGTCTGTGGTGGACAAACTGAAACAGAGAAGCAGCTCCTCTCTGTTAGAGTACATCCTCTTTTTAACAGGAAGCAGAGGGGGTTGTGGGAAATGAAGTTCTGCACTATCACAAACAATGACACACTAGTTGCTAACTTGAGCTAGCCTGTCATCAAGAAGACAATGGAAGTTATAAACAAAGACTCGATAAACACACAGATATCAGCTCTAATATCTCTATAGACAGACAGATATCAGCTGTTTTATCTTTATAGACAAACATCAGCTGTACTATAGAGATAAACAGACAAATATCAGCTGTATTGTCTTTATAAACACACAGATATCAGCTGCTTTATCTCTATAGACAAATATCAACTATAGACGGATACCTGAATTATCTTTATAAACAAATATCAGTCGTTTTGTCTCTATAAACAGACAAATATCAGCTGTACTATAGAGGTAAACAGACAGATATCAGCTATAGACAGATATCTGTATTATCCCTTTAGACAGACAGATATCGGCTGTTTTATCTCTATAAACAGACAGATATCAGCTGTATTATCCTTATAAACAGTCAGATATCAGCTATAGACAGATATCAGTGTTATCTCTCTAGACAGACAGATATCGGCTGTTTTATCTCTATAAATAGACAGATATCGGCTGTATTATCACTTTAGACCGACAGATATCGGTATTAAGCAGCTGCTGACTGTAAATCAATACAGGACTGAGGATCGATCAGCAGCTCTGTGTGTCAATATCCTTCAACCTCTAAACTGCTTCTTTCTGATCGATTACACGGTGACCTGTCCATCTCAGCTGATCACTTGTGTGTTAATAATCGTAGGGTTGAGTTATTTGACGTTTTTATCAGCTGACACTCGCATTTATCGGTCTGTTTCTGACCGTTAATGTCGACGCAGCTCAAAGCTAACAGCTAAAGCTAAAGCTGCTCTCTGACGGACAGGCCTTCACCACAGCTCTCGGGTTTCAGACATGAACCTCTCTGATATCTGCTTGGTTATAAATCTATCTGCCTCCTGCTGAATTTAAAGTGCGTAGACATGTTTTTATCATCAGCCTCCATCACACCAACACCTCCTCCTCCTTCTTACCCAGAGAGTGATCCTCTTTGAACATCCATTTCATTTTTACCGTTTCCGGGCTCTGTCCGCTCGATGCAGCCGGTTATAAACTCAGTTTAAAGTCGATTAAAGTTCGAGAATTATCACTTTGTTTTATTATTTTTGATTTAACTCTTAAAACTAAAAAGCAACGACGACAGAGATCCCTGAACCCGGCGGCCACAACAACAAACAACAACAACAACAGCAGGAGCAGCAGTGGCCTCCCCTTCACTATCAGCCCAGTCTGACCATAGATATACAAACACTAGATGTCTTACACGCGCTGTTGGCTATTGAGACCGACGTCCACGCATGGCGGCCATCTTGCTACAGTCAACTCTCCCACTCCTAACATTCAGTCTACAGTTCATGTAACATTAAAAAAACCATAGATTAATTAATTTAAATAACCATAGAGTGATTAATTTAAATAACCAAAGATTGATTAATTTAAATAACCATAGATTGATTAATTTAAATAACCATAGATTGATTAATTTAAATAACCATATATTGATTAATTTAAATAACCATAGATTGATTAATTCAAATAACCATAGATTGATTAATTTAGATAACCAAAGATTGATTAATTTTAAACTGATTTTCAAACAGTTTGGTTTGTAACAAACCTCAGAGTTTTAGTTATGTTCCTGCATACTCAAGAATAATTTTAACCATGGATTTACGTAAATAAACATTAAGCAAATAGGTAGATCAATAGTTATAGACCTACACACACAAGGCAGTTATACTAAATCATTTATATATAAAACATTTAATTATTCCATGTATATAATATTAGTAATATTTCTATAACAATAACATATATAAATATTTATTTTCAATATAACTTTCTGTCTCATGTTTCCATTTTATATTTTTTTAACAAACCAGACAGTTTGGAAATCATGAACAACTTCAGTTTTGTTGAATCTAAAGATCATTTCTGCCTCTTTAACTGACGTAAAATTACTGGGTCAACTTTGTAATATGTACTTGGTCTCAGTCAGAGCGAGTCTGTTAGCCAAGTTAGACAGCTGATAAACATGAGACCATCCACAAAGACTGACACTTAATCAAAAATATAGTCTGTTATATAAGAAATTAAAATCTTGATTGTGGTCTCAGCCTTGACAAAGAGACTCAACGTTAGTCCTTGAGCACAAATAGCCATAAAACAACTGGGCATAATTATTAAGTCTTTTTTTAAAGTAAATCTGTCATTTCAATATGTCCAAGCGTACCGACTCACAGCCTCGTTATTAAGGTCTGTAATAAACTAAACCGTTTATAAATCTGTCAAGATTTCGGAGTTAAGAGGATTTTTGATCATGTAGATTACTCACCTCCCGTCAGCCACACATAGAGAACCAGAATGGTATACTGGAGTAAGATGGCCGCCGGTGACTCCACCTCATGGAGTCATCTAGCCTTTCTTATAGATGTCTATGGCTCTGAGCACCGCCCCCCGATGACGTCAGTATAGACCGTTCCATTCGGCCGCAGAGAGGAGGGGTGAGCGGTAGTTATAAACAGGACGATCTTTATTTTCACACGGTCATAGTTCACATGAAAGACACGATTCTCCTCTTATTAGTGACAGTGAATTGTTAATCCATCATTTTAGTTTATTTGGGACATCTTGATGTTCTTATAGTAACTCTCTTTTTTTACAAGGTTCCCCTTTAGGTCGGACCGTCTCTCTTTAAGGAACATAAACAGAACCAGAACCCGAGTCAAAGGCCGCCCTGAAACAGGTCTACATGAGGATTCATGTAATGTTTTGGTGTCTGTGAATAAATATAATCATTTAATTCTCTTTGAGGTATCATGATTCATTGTTTGTTCCCCCAAATTCGTATAAATCCCGTTAAAAACAGGACGAGACGAACAACCATGTCCTCTGTTTACATGGATCATGTGACTGATTGCTCATAATTCAGAGAGTTGTCATCAATTATTGTTGTTTCCACCAGGATAGAACATGTATTTTATTTGGTCCTGTGGCCTGTAAGAGTTTATATATATTTGTGCTAACAGGGTTAACTAAATACATAAATACATAAATCTGTACCAAACTGAAGGAGTGAAAGACGAGGCCTGTGACCAGTCCAGACAAAGAGGCGTGTGTCAGTGTCAGTTACATCTAATGTTCTGATTATCCCGAATTTATTCAGAGTGGGAGCTGAAAACAAACCGAGTGGACCCTCGACTCTTTAGAGAGGAGGAAACAGAGTCCAGGATTTCCAGTTCTTCATTGACAGGACAACGAGACGCCTCAGGCGAAACGTCTCAAGAGACTGAAGTGAGGTCTCTTAGTGTTCTACGGTGGCTGAGAAACGCCACTGCTGCAAATAAAAAAGAACGCAACGGAAGTTAATGACGCAAAACAAGGTGGTGATACACCTGAGCGTCTGAGTCGATATGAGGTTGAACTGAAGTTAACTCTACACGACATCCTCCAGGTCAACTTCAACAGGCGCTACCCGGTCGAACCACAGGACACATTAAAAAGTTTACAAAGTGAAATTAAAGAATAACCTTTACACGAACTTCTTTGTTCGTCTTCTCACCGTCGTCTTCTGTGTCTAGATCGTAAAACACTGGTGTAACATCATTATTAGTCCCCGGCAGCTCACGTCTGTTGTGTTTCTTTTATTTGCATCCTTTTATTTTTCTCAGTAAGAAACCTTTTTTTTCCATCCCCACTTTTATTTTGCATCATTAACTTCTGTTGTGACTTTTTTTTCATTCCCTTTTATTTGCAGCAGTGGCGGTCCTCGGCCACCGTAGTTTCCAGTTTATGTTCCCTCTC